AGCCCAATCTAATTTTATTTCTTTCTCTAAATGTAGAAAGAAAAATTAGAGGGTTAAAACAGATAGTGGGGTCATAATTATCTATGTTAAAAACTCAATTGCTAAAGGAGTAACACATGTAAGCAAATAAAGAAGTACGCGCGCACAACTTTTCCGACTAAATGAAAAATAATTAAATTTTATAAAAATCTTGTCTTTATAATTAACCACAACGAAAGGGTAACGAGGCTATTATATTAAAGCCACGGACATTAACCCCATATCATTTAGTTCCTTCAGATTCTAAGTGTATGCATAGCTGTCAAATGTTTGCTAATTGATAATCCGTCTTTGCGTAGTGCAGAGTTATCTTCTCTTGGGAGCAGGTGTTTATTGTTACGTCATTGGTTTGTGTGAGAAAATTACGTCGTTTTCTCAAAAATTGATGACGTTACTCTCACAAACAAGTGACGTAACAATCAATACCTGGTCCCAAGAGAAGATAACTCTGCTATACGCAAAGACGGAATTGATAGCCCCGGGTGTTGTACGCGAATACATCACATTGTTCATGATACCATTTTTTTTATAGTTAGCTAATGTGCTGGAGCGGTAAGACTTATTTCTCTTTTATCTCAAGTGATATTTGAAGTCCTGTAAGATTGATCGCATTAAGGGTGCACCGTACATTGCGTACTTTCTTTTGTCAATATCTGCTTCTCAAAACATCATTTTTTCATACACCTAATGCACAGCTCCGTAACATGCACATTTCTGTTGATTCAAACGAATTAGTTGTCACAAATGTACATTATATTATCAGCTCACCTGGTCCAAAGGACCAAGGTGAGCTTATGCCATACCGTGGCGTCCGTCGTCCGTCCGTCCGTCGTCCGTCGTCCGTCGTCCGTCCGTCAACAATTTCTTTAAACGACTTCTTCTTCTTAACCACTGATTGGAATTTAACTAAATTTGACTGGAAGCTCCCTAGGTGGTGGGGATTCAAAATTGTACAAATGGTGGGGCTGACCCCCAGGGAGCTGAGGGGCGGGGCAAAAAGGGGGCAATTTGGCTAAACTGCTTGAAGCGACTTCTTCTCTGGAACTAAGTGATGGATATCAACCATATTATACTGGAAGCATCCCTAGGTTGTGGAGATTTAAAATTGTACAAATGGTTGGGCTGACCCCCCAGGGGGCTGAGGGGCGGGGCCAAAAAGGGGTAATTTGGCTATATTTCTACAAACGACTTCTTCTGTAGAACTATGCACTGGATATCGATCATATTTAATCAAAAGCATTCATGGGATGCAGGGATTCAAAATTGTACAAATGGTGGGGCTGACCCCCCAGAGGGCTGAGGGGCGGGGCCAAAAAGGGGTAATTTGGCTTTATTTCTACAAACGACTTCTTCTGTAGAACTATGCACTGGATATCGATCATATTTGGTCGGAAGCATTCATAGAAGGCAGGGATTCAAAATTGTACAAATGGTGGGGCTGACCCCCCAGGCTAAGGGGTGGGGCCAAAAAAAGTTTATTGCCTGGAAATGGTTGGGATACCCACCATATAACCACATATACAATTGCTGAGTATAAAGAGAAGAATGCACATTTGCTTCCGGGATGGCCCTAGGGTCTGGCCCCACCCTTGGAAACATAGTCCTTGGGCCATAACTTAAAAACGGTTGAGATCCCCACCCCAAAACTATATATACAAATGCTGGGCATAAAGAGACGAATGCAGTCATGATATTAGAATAGACCCTGGGGTCTGACCGAACCCCTAGGGACCTAGTTTCTTAGTCACAGCTTGGAAACAGTTGAGATCCCCGACCTATAACCATATAGACAATTGCTGAGTATAAAGAGATGAATGCACATATGCTTCCAGGATGGCCTTGGGGACTGCCCCACCCTTGGAGACTTAACCCCTGGGTCATAACTTCGAAATGGTTAAGATCCCCACCCCAAAACTATATATACAATTGTTGGGCATAAAGAGACAAATGCAGTCATGATATTAGAATTGACCCCAGGGTTTGCCCCACCCTTGCAGACTTAACCCCTGGGTCATAACTTTGAAACGGTTGAGATCCCCACCCAAAAACTATATATACAAATGCTGGGCAAAAAGAGACAAATGCAGTCATGATATTAGAATTGATCTTGGGGTCTGGCCACAACCATAGGGACCTAGTTTCTGAGTCACAGATTGGAAACAGTTGAGATCCCCACCCCATAACCATGCATAAAATTGCTGGGCATGAAAAATCGAATACAGATGTATATGCTACAAGGATTGGCCTTGGGTTCTGGCATATTCCCATGGATCTCATTTGGAGAATATTCTGTCATGATTGCTTAGATAATCCAGGTGAGCGATACAGGCCCTATGGGCCTCTTGTTGTTTAATGTCGCACGTAAACTCATCAGAGTCCAATCCTTCACTAGCAATGGCAACTGTGTCGGGAGGAAACAGAATCGCGAGTAACACTCAGCTATGGTATGAAACTGAGAAATAAAAATCAAATGTGTGTCATGTATCAAAGGAAGACTTAAGCATAAGGTAACTGATAACATGCTCACATTAAATCATATGGACGTAATAATCACATGACAGAACCAAATAATGTACAGACTTAGTTTATTTATATGGACGTAATAATCACATAACAGAACCAAATAATGTACAGACTTAGTTTATTTATATGGACGTAATAATCACATGACAGAACCAAATAATGTACAGACTTAGTTTATTTATATGGACGTAATAATCACATAACAGAACCAAATAATGTACAGACTTAGTTTATTTATATGGACGTAATAATCACATGACAGAACCAAATAATGTACAGACTTAGTTTGTTTATATGGACGTAATAATCACATAACAGAACCAAATAATGTACAAACTTAGTTTATTTATATGGACGTAATCATCACATTACAGAACCAAATAATGTACAGACTTAGTTTGTTTATATGGACGTAATAATCACATGATAGAAACAAATAATGTACAGACTTAGTTTGTTTATATGGACGTAATAATCACACGAAAGAACCAAATAATGTACAGACTTAGTTTGTTTTCAAGCATTTTATTAAACTGCGTGTGAAGTTCAACAACAGTTTATATGAAAAACCACGAAAATAAAGTTGGTGGTATTTCATATAAATAATTAATCGAAATGTCCTTGATATTGCCAAAATTTAGAAATGAGCAATTGTCGAGCACAAGGTCATTACTTTTCTTTTATTTAGGTCACGGATGCTTTGAACAATTAATCTCTACGTGTTTATTTCAGACAATATGTATGCAGTCTGCGCAAACTTTTTTCTAGATAAATCCATTCTTCTACTAATTCTTGCTTGTTTGACAAAATACATTACTTATAGCGTATCTCAGATAGTATAGAAATACAAGGGTTTCTTATTTAACATACTTACCTGGATATGACGGAAGACATCATTGAGGTAACCACATATGGCACAGGAAACACATCCGGAACACCTGGTTTTCACTTCCAATTTTTGTGGAGGTTCATAAAGTCTTTTCTTACCATATGATGCCATCATAAGTGTTGTTGCTGTCTATTTGTATCGGCTTTTTGTTCAGATTATGTCCATTTTTGTCGATAATTTTGCACGTTATCATTTTGTTTTACTTGAACGGTAATGTCTACTATCGATGCCATCATAATCACAATTATAGGGATAGTCTGGTGGTGCAGTGGATAGGGCACTTGCCTTTCACCAAGGTGGCTGGGGTTCGATTCCCCGATCGGACGTGAAGAGGTATGGGGTCAACTGCCTGACTACGTTGGTTTTCTACAGGTACTCTGGTTTCCTCCCACATTAAGACCTCCGCACGCTTACATCCAGCCAAAAAAAAGGTGATGAATATAAGATGAAATAACTTGTTTCATAATTGTTGTACAATAAATAACGTTTATATACTATTATTACATTGTACCGTATGCGTGTTCTTTACTCCTGAACACGAGTCAACGACAACAGGTTATGGAATGTATTACCTGTCATCTTATCTTCGTTACTGAACACCGACTTTCACATGATCAATGTAGTGTAGAGTGATATACCTTTTAAATATTTATGACTAGTCGCTTTACATGTTTACATTCCACACGGAACTGATTCACTACGCACAACGTGGTCACTATCGGAAGGTCACGATTTCCATGACAGATGTGGAATACTGCTGGGGAAAATCTTACAACACAAGGATTTGAGAGAAACATGTTAATGATGTATAAACTGCATGTATGACGTAAGAAGTGATTAATGTGAAGCTCTATGTGAAATCGTTCTTTTTTATTCAATTTCTTATAATAAGCAGGCATGGTAAAAATAGCTGCTTCCCCCTCCCCCTGTACTAGTTGGGATATAAACTTCTTTTATTTTACAACAATTATGAAACAATTTATTTCAACTTGTATTAAGCATCCTTGTTGGCACAGGTGTTCGCGCGCGGATGGTCTTAATGTGGGAGGAATACCCGGGGAAAACCCACGTGTTCGGGCATGTGACCCCATGTCTGGCTGTTATGATGAAGTTAATCTACGATGATAAAAATGAAAACTATGGACAATATTTATATTGACAATCAGGATCTCAAGGGGTCTTTTGTTCTTTTGCGATATGAAATCGACGTTGTTAATTATGCTTATGATCGTAACTTGTGACTATATCTCACGTTGAGAATGTGACGACTCCATGTTAATATTTCCTTTGTTTATTATCTGCTATAAATAAGTCAATCTTCAGTTCGAACTACGGTTATCAAAATACTGTAGTTACTATTGTTTAAAAGGGTTGTGCGTAACAAATGAAGCAGACCTTTCGCAAAAATTAAGACCTTTTACCATAAAAAAACCCTGATTTATTTAAAGTACTTTTCCGTTTTAATGCATTAGAGACTGACATTACAGAATCTAAAATATTATAAGATCAGCCAAAGCTGATCCATCATCCTGTTCTCTTCCAATTACAGTCGCTCCGAAGACCAAACAGGGGGAATGTGAAGAGCTACTTCCTGGCGGGGAGGTCTATGCCCTGGTTTGCTGTAAGTAAACAGAACATGATGTATTGGTGTGAGGAACATGATAAAGCACACATGGGCCAACTTGATAGGGTTTAAAACCTCCATCAAGTTTTTGTGGCCAATTATTTTATATCTAGTCCCACCTATTTTGCCTATAACCTTATATTTTAATTCCAATCTAAAAAATGGGTTTTGGCATTTTGCTAAATGCTATTAGACTTTGGCATTTTGCTAAATGCTATTAGACTTGGGCATTTGAATAAATGCTCTATTACTACAATAGATGTCTTGTGTCATTTTTAGCAGAAAACTAGCAGAGTTTTCCGGTGTGCTTTACTTTCAAGTAGATCACATAAACACGATGTTATAATTGTATTTATGTTCACATAAAGTAATATATATATATCCAATGCTACAGTCATTCCTGTTTATTTGTAGTGACACATGTACAGTTGTATACTGATCATGTTGTACGAGTGTAAAAGACCGTGATAGAAGTCACATATATAGTCAGTGTTATATTCATCTCTGTTTCTGTATGTTGATCCCTTTCATGGGGTTATCTCCCCACAAACATACTTGGTAAATTATCTTGCTCATAGTGTTATAGATGTATAATACACATTGGTATTATTGTACTGAAAAACCTGAACCCCAAAAGGACAAAGGAGTACATGTTTAATGCTGCCGAGATGTTGAATGTTAGTTTGCAGTAACATAACTTTGATATATTTCAGTCCAACAGAAAAATGTGACAAACGGGTACTGTCTCGTCTCTCAATTAACTGTTCTTCTTGTCTTGTGCCTATCCTGTGTTCCCCCTTTTAGCCTCATAACGCTTTACTGTATTGTCATCTTTTATTTAACACCTTTTTATGACGCTCCTTGTTTCTTAGATGCATCGAAACATTGTTTTACTACGAATCTCACACTTTCAGACGAGTAACTTTCCCTTGTATTTGACCAGGTCGGTGCGTCTCTATTCTCCAGTAACATTGGGAGTGAACATTTTGTGGGCTTGGCAGGTGCTGGGGCGTCGTCAGGAATAGCCCTAGTCTTATACGAATGGTTTGTAAGTATGTATATAATCGTTATAGAAGTTGTTGTCCTGTATTCGTGAATTTAGTGTGGTTGTACTACATACTGAATATATTATTACATTGTAGTTATGAACAAATATGTATAAACTTATTGTTGTCCTGTTTCTTAACGAGTATGCACATACTTGTTATATCCCTTGTTCTATATAAGTATTATTATATCTATATAGGTTTGTTGAATACATACTTGCTCTTTACGATAATGTATGCGTTTGTTTCAACCCTGGTTCTGTATCAGCTTATCTTTATTTATAATAATAATAATAATATACAACATTTATATAGCGCCCTCTATAATTTGTAAAATTACTCTAAATCGCTTTACAACATATGGTAATAGATTAAGTTATTGTGAAACAAAAACAAGGGCTTACAATCACTTTTATACATTAAGTAAGCAGATAATCATCGCAATGTGCACATAAATGAATAAATAAAGGGTGGTTTTTACATGACGTCTTTGCAACGAGCCTAAAATGCAGACGTGAACAGGTGAGTTTTGATGTCCTTCCTTATTTAATGGTGATAGTCCTAAACGAGTATCTATAACAAACGTGATCCTATTGTAATACTGGTCATAGGCATGACAATAAAAGTATGGTTCAGAAACAGTATTACTCTGTTGTCGTCAATTCGAGAATTTTGCTTCTTTTAGGTTATTTTCCTGATCCTTCTATGTGGATGGCTGTTCCTGCCTGTCTACATATCGGCTGGAGTAAGTTAATGGCGATCACTTGCACTTGACCATCATCTCAGACTTTCTGCATTTGATAACCACCGTTGTATAGGATGGTATTATAAATAAATGGAGACGGACTGTATTCTCTTTTATGTTTAAGTTTTCTCCTGCCTAACTTTAGGTATACACACTTCCGGAGTACATCGAGAGACGCCATGGTGGCCGGAAGTTGAGAGTATACCTGAGCTGCATAGCTCTAGTCCTGTACGTAGTCTCCAAACTAGCCGTAAGTAAAAGTGCAGGAACTCTATACAAAGTATCCAAAGCCAAAAATACGATGTGTTGTTTGGTATTTATGTTTTCTTACATGTATCTATGATGTGCTGAAAAGTCGTCCAGATGTATTTTTCAAATTGTAATGCTATTGTTCTCTGGCGGACGTCTAAACCTTCATTTACCTGTGCCAAAAATAGTGTCACAGAAGCTCGATATGTTGTCCATTCAAAACGGTGTGTTGTCATTAGCTGGTCGTGACGAAGCACACAATCAACTTTAAGGTAAGAATAGGGACAAGCAACGTCCACGTGTTATATGTCATATAACAAATAAATCATTGACACATTTTAGGTTAATATGACCATTTCTCGACCTTCAAAATGTACAATTTCCCCCCTCCTGTCTGAAGTGTTCAAATTTACCCTCCACATAATGTATACCAAACCGACCATTTTCGTTACAGACCAAATGTTGGTACACAGTCTGAATGTTAATTGTTCTATTAACAAGATATCTGTTGTGCACAATCGTAATATGACGTCTATAGATTATTTGTCAATGTTCGAATGAAAATAAATGCACCATTCTCACACAAAATCTCTTTAACACATTAGAACATACATGTACATGATGTACGACATTCTAGCTCTTCAATAAACTGTGTCCAATTCCCATAGCATGTGCTGAAAACAGGAGCTGTTATCCCATTTCTAATTATTAAAGCATCAAATTGAAATGTTTTTGTATATGACGTGTTTTTGTATAGGTCAGCATATTTGCCGGGTCCATGTTTATCCAGATGACCCTCGGTTGGGATATGTACCTGTCAATAATTGTATTGCTGGTGATAACGGCGATATACACAATCTTAGGTAAGCTTAATAAACACCAGATTAGTAAAGTGTGATATGGACGTCCAAGCTAAACTTGTATGATATACACGATCCTTGACAATCAAAATACATTTTATATGCACTATTCGGTAAGAAGAATATACACAAGCTTCTTAAGGTAATAGGATTGTGTCACCATTTCTCAGTAGAATTTCTTAAAAATTTGTAGTTATATTGATATGAAGTAAAGAAAATTTTCTGCCACAAAATAAATATAGGTTATCAGAATTTTAAATGGAAATTTATGTAAAAAGGAGTGAATTTTGAAAAATAAATAAAAGATACATTTTTTTGCAAAATAATGTCAATAAAAATGATACTGACATAGATAAGTATTGCATTAATGTATATCAATTTCATAAATGCTGAAATTGTGTAAAATTAATTATCTATAAACGATTTTATAATAAAACCATATACACATAGTGATTACATGTAAGAGTTATCGTTCTTGAAAAACTTCACAGTATTAAAATAGGTAGCCGGTTTCCTGAAGTACAGAAAAATGGACACATGTGACTCATTGATTAAAAAGACCTGAACTAATGACTGGATTGCTTTGAAATACTTTCATATTGAAAGAACACACTGTGCTGTCAATAATAAACATACAATATTCATCAGTTTAATATTAAACATTAATATATCCGGAAATTGTGATACTGTCTCCCTACATTGGATTTTCAACTAGGGATGTACTTCCCATTTCCGTTTATCAATACACTTCTATGTCCTTAAGGAATTCTGAGTGTTAACCTACTAGTATATAGAATATCTTCTTTACTTCGTCACTAGTACGTCATTAAGTGATATAAATACTTTTAACGAAAACTTGATGTATTTCTTAATAACAACCAATTATGGACTTTTGTTCAGATAAACATAAGATTAACATCGAAATGAAATTCTTTGATTGTTATGTTAGATGCTAAATTATGTTTTAATAATTAAGAGAGATGGAAACCGTACGAAGGAAAGTACTGCATTTGATAAAGAATTTGAAATAAATTGAAATAACGTCATAAAGTGAATTAAGATCAATATTATACATTTATGGGCTTTGTGCTAATGAATATGATGTGATATGAACCTGAAAGAGCGATATGCAGCCGCCTCGGTCAATATCACTTTTTCAGGTTCATATCACATCATATTCCCCAGCACAAAAGCCCATAACTGTTTTATTATATGCTTCAACAATAAAACTTAAACAAATCTCAATGTTCTCTGTGTAAAGTTTAGCGAGGGTTGATCCAATAGTTTCGAAGCCATCGCCAAGGTTATTTCTTTAAGATAAGCATGGAGGGCACGCACTGCGTGTTCGGGAGCCCTTTTGTGTTAACAGCATCTTTATCTACGAGCAATTTTTACGAAATTTTCAGATGTAACGGAGGCAAAGCGTTTGCCAGCAGAAATCTTCTGTTGTTGTCTGACAGATCGCGTTCCGGTCTAACTGCGCATGTGCTACGAGAGGTTGCGGGGAATTTCCATATAGACTATATTTAGAAATCGATATTTACCGAAACCCCTGTCTACATGTGTTTTTGAGGACTTGTCCTGTGTAAAGGAACCGGCCAATGTGATTGCGAGAAATTTTCAAGCATATATTAAAACAAAATACCATCCTGCACATGCTTGTAATCCAGCCAAATGTGTATCATCTAATATAGAGTCATATTCAACTGGGAAATGAATCATTGATATATCGCCTTTTCCTCGTTTCGGAGACGTTAATGGCAGGTATGGTAATTTAGTACTGTATAGTTGCTAATAATTTTGCGAAAAATCAGTAGATGATATTACCTGCTTTACTTTGACAGGCGGATTAACAGCAGTGATGTACACAGATACATTCCAGACGGTCGTCATGATACTGGGATCTCTCTCAATTGTAATCATTGGTAAGAGACATTCTAGAGAATAATCATGAAAACTCGACCCCATTTTATTGTAGATATCCGTAGAATGTCATTCGAGAATCTGTGACGATAGTTGGGTCACTCAAATTGTAACTATCAGTGAGGCCTGTTTCAGCTTCTGTTGTATTTTCTACATAAATGCTGGAACACTCAAATTAACATTTATTAATTGGACTTGTTTTAATGAAACAGTTCAAACATTTGCTATCAGACTCGAGACTCTTTCAGTTGAAGCTCTGGGTCCTGTTACTGTTAGTACTCCTCACTGTTGTACAAACATCCGTACCGTTTTCATAACTTTGTAAGTCGTGACACACAATTACTCTGTTATGATACTGTATCTTTTAACTGTTTTGGCCAGTATGTTAAAGTGATAGTAAATCTGTGTTAAAAGAAATTCGCTAGAGCGTCTTCGCCTCACAGATATCAGATTACTGATAGACAGTTAATTTCAACAGGGTTTGACAAAGTTGGTGGCTTGAATGCCTTGGAAACGAAGTACATGGCAGCCATTCCAAAGATCCGAAACAACGCCACGACGTGTGGCATTCCAAAGCCCGACGCCTTCAGAGTGTTCCTTGACCCCGTCGATGGAGACTACCCTTGGCCCGCCCTCGTCTTACAGAGCTCGATCGGCAGTCTGTGGTACTGGTGCTGTGACCAGGTAAGAACATGTGATATGACCACGTTGAGTATAGTTTGCTGTGTTGTTCTGGTCGTGTGATCAGGCATGATCACCGGATATATAGGTCGATAGCTCGTGATAGTTACTCGGTGACCAGGTAAATGATGGAAGAAACCATACAAACATTCTGAAGTATTCTGGTTCAGTGATTATACTGAAATTTATTCGTTAAGATGGTTGATGACAGATGATTGCTTTAAAAGCTAAAATGAGTTGATATGAGGACGTTTTGAACGGAAGTTCCAATAACAAGTAGTTTTGCCTGTATTCACGAGTTAAGTTGGTCTCAGGTAAAAAAAAACACCATGACCAATCGCTACGCTGATACCTGTCCTTTGAAGATTACAAAGGAGCGACACTCGACTTCAAAGCCTTTTATTTTTACCGTTACGCGACCGCGAGATTCTTTTGATGTATATCAAAGGATCGAACTAGTCTTCTTGTCTCCTCAACAAGGTGGTACACACTTTCCAGGGATGCAGAGAGCGAAAGTGAGCGAAACCCCTGAATATCGAGGATTCCAATACGTAGCTTTGTTCGCCACACAGACTTTCTGATTTGATGCCTCCTTATTTCGTAGTTTTAGCAATTGTTTTACATGCTTGTCCCCATATCAGGCATCTACCTCTACACATGTTTACTGTTTTTATAGGTGATTGTTCAGCGGTCTTTGGGAGCAAAGAATCTGTCGCATGCGAAGGGCGGGTCAATCCTGGCCGGTTACCTCAAGACTCTTCCTCTCTTCCTCATCGTATTTCCCGGCATGATTAGCAGAGTGTTGTTCCCAGGTAACGCATTAGTCGACCACTAAGATGGTTCTTTCTCACGCGCGTGTTAAAATACACATTTGTTTACCTTTAATCAATCCTCTATCTGTTAAGGATCCCCGTACCTTGGCTTGTTCCGGCATGACTACAGCTTTGATAAACGATTTTGAGAAGAAAAGCATACATTGCGGGACTTTTATGAAAAAGTGTTAAAATCAAATAACAATTATAATCAATAACAATGTTCTGAGTGTAAATTTATCAGCGGAACAAGACCTGGATTCGAACCCTGGACTCCCTCTAACCGACCGAGCTACCTGGTCAACAGAAAATTTCTGTCCCAACTCTGCTACAGTTACATCCAAACGGAAATTAAGGGGAGGTTACTGTATAAAGGAAAATTCACAGTGCAGTGGGACAGGGACCCTTAACATTGACCTTTTATCATTTAATTACTGAATACTTTTATCTTTTCAATATGCTATGCAACAGGTTATCGTCCTATAAGTATGTAAATATATATGTATGTATCCGAAAGCGTGTTTCATCTTTAACATTTGCGATGTTACCTTGTAGACGAGGTAGGATGTGTAGACCCGGACGAGTGTTCCCGGATATGCGACAACCCGGTTGGATGTTCAAATATCGCTTATCCCAAACTAGTACTGGAGCTACTTCCGGTCGGTAAGTATAGCAAAAGCACGTTAACATGGAGCTACTTCAGGTCGGAAAGTATAGCAAAAGCACGTTAACAAGGAGCTACTTCCGGTCGGTAAGTATAGCAAAAGCACATTAACAAGGAGCTACTTCTGGTCGGTAAGTATAGCAAAAGCACGTTAGCAAGGAGCTACTTCCGGTCGATAAGTATAGCAAAAGCACGTTAACAAGGCGCTACTTCCGGTCGGTAAGTATAGCAAAAGCACGTGAACAAAGAGCTACTTCCGGTCGGTTAGTATAGCAAAAGCACGTTAACAAGGAGCTACTTCCGGTCGGTAAGTATAGCAAAAGCACGTTATCAAAGAGCTACTTCCTGTCGGTAAGTGCAAAAGCACGTTAACAAGAGCGTATTTAACATAGATTTATGTTTCGTTTATTAACGAGTTCACATTGTGTTTATTTAGACTCAATACCAATTTATGTATTTATTTAGAACTAGTTAATGAAATGATTTCTGCCTCCCTAACTTGAAAACCAGAGGTTGAACCTAACAGGCCGATTACAAAAAATAACAAATGTCTCCGTGTACTTGCGTAGGTCTGCGTGGCCTCCTAATGGCAGTGATGGTGTCGGCCATCATGAGTTCTCTGACGTCAATCTTCAACAGCTCCAGTACTGTTTTCACCATGGATATATGGCGCAGGGTCAGAGCCCAGGCATCTCAGCGAGAACTGCTTATCGTTGGCAGGTAATTGTTTATAAGTACTAGCTCCACTTCGGCAGGAAGTGATCATTGTAGGCAGGCTAGTATAATGGAACTAGGCACCATCTCCTTAAGAAAAAAATCCCTTTTGAAGTCATGTTAGACTTACTATTTCCGTTGGGAAGTTTATTGTTTATAAGGGCAATATCTTTTTCCTGTGATCGGTTTCGTTTTATCTGTGTTTCTGCTTGCACTAAAACTGTCCCGCACTTATTCCTTTTTGACAGGCTGTTTGTGGTAGTTTTGTGCGTCATCAGTATTCTGTGGATTCCACTGGTCAAGTCATCCCAGGGTGGGAAGCTGTTCCAGTATATGACGGCAATTGAAGCCTATCTCGGATCACCAATCGGGATTCTGTTTTTGTTGTCCATGTTCTGGAAGAAAACCACGGAAAACGTAAGGTCAACAAATAGAACTTATTTGACTTTCAAAAAGAAAGAAAAATCCAAAAGAAGAACAAATACACTTCCCAGTATAAAAAATTAACTATCACGAAACTCGACTTTCAATAGTGCAATAATTTCCACTGTTAGAAGCTTTGGGCAATGCTTAAGATCTATTCTTCTGATTTCTATTAGCTATGCTCTCAGAGACACAGTTCCGTGCTTGGTTTCAGGGGGCATTTTGGGGTTTGGTGTTGGGTCACGTGTGTGGGCTGATCCGCCTCGTTTTGGAGTTTGTTTACCCCCAGCCAAACTGTGGTGAAGAGGAGACACGCCCTGCCTTCCTCACAATTAATTATCTCTACTTCGGTATCTTCATCCTCTTTATCACGGCAGTAGCTACCATCCTCATCAGCATCTTCACCAATAAACGGACGGACGATGAGGTAAATATACGTCATCAGTAGTTTCGTATGTTTGGCGGATGAATCATTGTGGTTCGAATAAATGAAGTAATTACCTTTTCTCTATTTAAATTTTTATTTTGTATCGGAGTTTTTCAATGAAATCAAATCATAACAGACTGTTTCAAAGATACAATGAACATTGCTAAAAAAAATGAAATTCAATAAAAATAAATCTTCGATTCCCTTTTATTCCCCAAATATATTTTCGTACGTTCAGTTCTTTATTGTTCAAATTGCTTAGTTACTTGGCGTTACGTGGTGGACAAAGTACAAGGCGGACACTGGCCTACAAAACCAGGACGTTGAACTGAAAGTGTCTGGCCCTCTTCAGGACACGTTAGCACAGCAGGTTGAAGGTATGCCGAAGTCATATAACAGGAAATATAAAATGTCGTTTTTGTTGTAATCTTCTTAAATATAAAATGGGTTCCAGTCCTTTCTATCATGGGCTTCACTGTTAGATGGTATAAATGATCCGACTTTATCTGAATTCACAATATGTGGCCAGATCGGTCTCAAGTTATGGTTCCAAAGAAGGATTTCAAAAAGAGCAGGATTACGTTTCTTTTCCTTTCTATTAATTATAAAACTTTGTAAAAGTGTTCACAGTATCAATAGAGACTGATTCAAAATTGAGCAACATCTGTAGACGATTTCAGATATAGTGTTACAGTTAAGAATTTCGTACGGCCTTTTCAATACAGTACATATAATTCCAGAGAGAAGCAAGTACATCACACATCGAATTTCTCTTCGTATGTTTCATGCCGCCTTCATGTGTTCACGCAAAACCAGGTTTACTCGGGAAATCCAAACACACTTCTGTATAACTACTCCACCAGTGTCATGTCTTCTGTCATGCTGTAGTCACTAACATATCGCCTGTAGCACACAGACATACACGCATACATTACACACAGACCTACACGCATACATTAAACACAGACATACACGCATGCATAAAACACAGACATACACGCATACATTACACACAGACATACACACATACATTACACACAGACATACACGCATACATTACACACAGAAATACACGCATACATTACACACAGACATACACGCATACATTACACACAGACATACACGCAGACATAACACACAGACATATACGCATACATTACACACAGACATACACGCATACATTACACACAGACATACACGCATGCATAAAACACAGACATACACGCATACATTACACAAAGACATACCCGCATACATTACACAAAGACATACACGCATACATTACACGCATACATACACGCATACGTTACACACAGACAAACACGCATATATTACACACATACATACAAGCATATATTACACACAGATACACACGCATGCATTACATATAGACATACACGCATCCATTACAGAAAGACATACGCGCATTCATTACACACAGACATACACACATACCTTACAAGCACACAGACACACGCATGCATTACACACAGATACACACGCATGCATAACACACAGACATACACGAATACAGTACAGAAAGACATACGCGCATACATTACACACAGACATAGACACATACATTACACACAGACATACACGCATACATTACATACAGACACACACGCATACATTACACACCGACATACACGCATACATTACACACAGACATACACGCATACATGACACACAGACATACACGCATATATCACACACAGACATACACGCATACATTACACACATACACGCACACATACATTACACACAGACATACACGCATACAGTACACACAGATATACACGCATACATTACACACAGTTATACACGCATACATTACAGAAAGACATACACGCACACATTACACACAGACATACACGCACACATTACAGAAAGACATACACGAATACTTTACACACATACATACACACAGACATTACACACAGACATACACGGAAACATTACACACATACATAAACGCATACATTACACACAAACATACACACATACACACACGCATACATTACACACAGACATACACGCATACATTACACACATACATACACGCATACATTACACGCATACATATACGCATACATTACACACATACATACACGCATACATTACACACAGACATACACCCACACATTACACACAAACATACACGCATACATTACACACAGACATACACCCACACATTACACACAAACATACACGCATACATTACACACAGACATACACAATACACACATACACACACGCATACATTACACACAGACATACACGCATGCATAAAACACATTCATACACGCATACATTACACGCATACATACACGCATACATTACACACAGACATACACGCATACATTAAACACAGACATACACGCATACATTACACACAGATAAACACGCATATATTACACACATACATACACGCATACATTACACACAGACATACACGCATACATTACACACAGACATACATGCATACATTAAACACAGACATACACGCATACATTACACACAGATACACACGCATGCATAACACACAGACATACACGCATACAGTACAGAAAGACATACGCGCATACATTACACACAGACATAGACACATACATTACAAACAGACATACACGCATACATTACATACAGACACACACTCATACATTACACACCGCCATACACGCATACATTACACACAGACATACACCCACACATTACACACAGACATACACGCATACAGTACAGAAAGACATACGCGCATACATTACACACAGACATAGACACATACATTACAAACAGACATACACGCATATATTACACACAGACATACACGCATACATTACACACAGACATACACGCATATATCACACACAGACATACACGCACACATTACAGAAAGACATACACGAATACTTTACACACATACATACACACAGACATTACACACAGACATACACGGAAACATTACACACATACATAAACGCATACATTACACACATACATAAACGCATACATTACACACAAACATACACACATACATACACGCATACATTACACACATACATACACGCATAAATTACACACAGACATACACGCATACATTACACACAGACATACACGCATGCATAAAACACATTCATACACGCATACATTACACGCATACATACACGCATACGTTACACACAGATAAACACGCATATATTACACACATACATACACGCATACATTACACACAGACATATAGCATGCATTACACACAGACATACATGCATACATTAAACACAGACATACACGCATACATTACACACAGACATACATGCATACATTACACACAGACATACATACATACATTACACATACACGCATACATTACACACAGACATACACACATACATTACACACAGACATACGCGCATACATTACACACAGACATACACGCATGCATAAAACACAGACATACACGCATACATTACACACAGGACACACACGCATACTTTATAGACAGACATACACGCATACATTACACACAGACATACACGCATACATTACACACAGACATACACGCATGCATAAAACACAGACATACACACATACATGACACACAGACACGCACGCATACATTACACACAGACATACACGCATAAATTACACACAAGACACACACGCATACATTACACACAGACATACACGCATTCATAACACACAGACACACACGCATGCATAAAACACAGACATACACGCATACATTACACACAGACATACATACATACATTACACACAGACACACACGTATACATTACACTCATGGAAGTACGTCCTTAATTGACCTCCGCTGTTAATAGGACGTTTAACCTTATAAAATCCAATTGATCTTCTTGAAATTACTTAACCAATTTAACTAAACGTATATATTCAACAAGTATGTTTTGTATCCATTTGCAGCAGAAAACGACCAAAGCGTCCCCGACTCAGCTTCGTGGTTTAAACGTCTGTTTTTGACTGTTTGTGGGAGTTCGGAGGAGCAGACGACAGAAATCGACATCGACCAAAGAAGGAAATTCGTTCAACAGACCAAGTGGGCTAAAAGCATCCTTAACATCAACGCCGCCATACTCGTCATGGTGGTCTGTTTTCTCTCAGGATATTTCAACTAGGTTATCGTCTGTTACAGTTCCATCAAAACTGAGTAATTACTGATTAACTTCTGGTAACATTTGACCCGTTAACTACTATTGTTAATCACCTACTGATTTGCGGCTGCATCTAAACTTTGCAACCGCACAATTACTTGCGTTTAACTCAAAGCTTAGTGATTGTACTATAACTTTGAAATCTTGAGATGTGAAATTTTGAGTTGTATATTAATGCCATGAAGGTTTTCGACGTGGTACAGTTCATTCATCAGTTCTCATACAGTGGACATTATCAATAATTGCATCAAATGCATTCAGGTATATAGTTTTTTTTTTGATACGTGCTCTATTTCCTGACCCTACAGTTCAATGTTTGTTTTACGTAGCCCGATTGTGTTTAAGATCAAAGGTTTCGTGTGATCAAGATGGATTCTCACAACGCTTTGAATTGTGGTACATGTCTTGTCCTTACTAGCATAGTGCTTAAGTATTTTGCGGGAAGCAGTAACTTGATTGTAGTTCCCAGTTGCTCAAATGCTGGTTTGACTCTAGCCAGTAGCTAGTGAAAACTTAAAAGTGTCGCCAATAAGAAACAAGCGCCTTAAAAACAAAATAAACCCTCAGCACACATCAATCTGATCCGTCTTAACAAATTTATAGCAGTGAAATGATACATGTATCTGATTCACTAGATTTGGTTCTGTGTTCGATAGTTAATTTTGTAACGTGTCGTTGTTATGGAGTTATTCCAAGTTGTATTAGTCATCTTAACTGTATACTGTGAATTGACTAATTTTCGTGAGGTTTTAATTTCGTTGCTTTCGTTTGCTTTTTTATCCACGAATTCGTAGGTCCACGAAGTAATTACAGGTTTGTCATAAAGCTACTTTTCGTATGGGTATGTACTTAGAAACCACGAATTTACGCACCCAGTGTTTTTATTTTTGGGAAACCACGAATCGTGGGCCCCACGAAAATATCTGGTTTTACAGAATGTCTTAAAAAATTACATGTATCTAACGTATCATAACGAGGGACATTGACTATTTATCGTCAATACCTAGCTTCCGTACTAGTCATAGTGAATAATAAATAACATTAGATAAGTATATGATTTACAGTACATGTTTATGATCTTACAGAAACGGGAAAACTAGTCGGCACATTAGGAGCAGTCGTCAGTAGAATTAAAGTTAAGTGCAGTGCGTGACATGACAGTATATACATATCTCAGTACTTGTAAAGGATCACGGGCCATCTTATCTATAAACATTGCCCTGTTGTAAGAGAGCTATTAAACTATATTTACAAATAGAATGTGTTGAACATTCGGGGTTTTTTTTCTTCGAAAAAAATCAGTATAAGAAAAGACGGAGACAAAGGGAATCCGGCGGTCGTTGTTGCATGTGCTACCATGACAATCAGACCGTCTCAGTAACATTTTAAAGAAAAACAAAATGACAGAATCAAGTAAGTACAAATTATTTGTACGTAAGAAATAAATGAACAGAGGAAAAACAACATATGGCAACATTCTTTAGGAACAGGTTCCCTCACACCTATCGTTACCTACACGTAGACCGTTCTATCGTTATGATAAGTTAGTCTGCAGTTAATGGATAGTAACTACAGTCTGCATTATCTGGTTTCCGTGACGTCAGTGTTAGCAACCACTCCCACCGATACGATAGCCGCCATCTTGTTGGGTTTTGCAGACAAAGAAGACATCCAGAATAGGACGGTAAGTTCTTACTTTTGTATTAGAATGTTCTGCACATACACTTAACGCATTTAACTGCATTTAACAATTGTCGCCTGGTTACATTTTTTAATGGCGACCGTTGTTTTGAAAGTTTTCTGTCCGATAATGGCCGTCTGCCGGCTGTTCCAAGAGTTGGATCACTGAGGTTTTGCGATAGCAGGAAATATGAATAAAGCTCTTCCAACTAATAAATAAAAGACAGGTCGTATGAGGAAATGTCTGTCAGATTGCAGTTACAGCTAATATGAATGCAATCTGGGAGACATATAAATAATCATGACGTCCGTTAGGTCGTCATGATTATTTATCTGTCACCCATTCTATTGATCTGTCACCCAGATTGTATTCACATTGGCTGTAACTCCAATATGACAAACGTTCAATCCTTAAATGTAGTCCTATCGTATAGGCCCGAAAACGAGTACGTAAACATTGAACGACGTTGCCGAAAAGACATCTAAAACAGCCGCGTTATCTCAGCGGAGGTGGAATATTTTGATACTGTTGGCATTAGCTTTATCGACGTCGGCGAGCACGACTTTATTCTGTATCATCGCTACAGCCCGGGGGTCCTTGACGCCCTGCACGACCCCAACAAGTTCCCTGACTGTCCCACCTTCCACCGTCACCTGCACGAGCCCCGGAAGTCCACCACAACACATGTATACATTTCCTTCACGGTCAACGTCCACGCCATGTGCGTTGGTCAGGCTGCCTCCCGTGACGGGTGATACTGAAACGTTAACGTTGGCGCGATCATGAGGATGGACACCTGGCATGCGGTATATGGCGGCGTTACCAGGGATGGAGCTGATCAAACTGACTAGGACATTAGGCTGGGTTATGTCCCCTGGCGAAGGAAAAATTATGGAGTCATACAGCTAATTTTATATGGTTTATTTTCAAACGTATATTTAAATAATCAAAGACATAGTTAGATATAAGAGAAAAAATATTTAATTTATGGCATGTATAGAACAGATAACTCTTGTTTCAACAAAGAGCAATAAGTACATCAATTGTTAAATGACGAACTGTAATTCATTGTCAAAGTCTTATCGCATATTAAACAAGATCACAAACACGCTGAAATAAAGCATAGCAAGTTATTGAAGCAATCAGAATCATATATAGAACGAAAAATTTCACAAGGCAGTGCCCAAGATTTCCAGGTAATTTTGCATTCACTACTTTCAAATTCCCTTGGCAAGACAATAGCGATATTCGTCTAAATCTATTGTACTACATGTACTTACCGGTGATATAGTAAGATGGTGACTCGTGTTCCATCATAAGGTCTGTCCGTCCGTCCGGCATCACACTGTACACCTGGTACGGACTCTGTCTTCCATTACTGACGATAAACTTGTCCCCAACGTAACAGACGCCATAACAAGGTCGGTCGATCACGATATCTTTTTCTAGTCTCAGTACAGTATTCCTCTTACGACTGGGAGCTACCTCGTTTCCATCGGGAACCAGTTCGCGGGCTTCACAGTCACTCGAGTCTGAACTCAACTCTGGTTTGGAGGACTCCTGACCGACGTCGACACAGCTGTCAACACCGCTGTCATGTGTTTGTTTTGTCATTTTCTCTTCCACCATAATGACTGAAATTGTTTTAGAATCAGGTCTCGTCACCGCTGCTCTGTTCCCTGGCAGTTTACACACAGCCCAGGGTCGGTCTGCAAGATTCAGCGAGTCAATAAAATCTCCATTTTCAGCGAACAGTTTCACCTTCTTGTTGTTTGCATCTGTGAGAAGGATGACGTCATCGTCAAACCACATAACATCTCTTACTGAACAGATCTGCTTGTCTGCGTCCAGTTTGACGGAGACTGTGCTGTGATGTGTAGCGATTCTGTCCGACAGAGGGAGCCACTTGTCCACAGCTGAAGGATAATCCCGGATCTGGTTGATTACGCTTATCTTTCCCAATGACTCAACATATTTAATTTTTTCATGAAGACCGACTGGTTCAAAACTTAAAACCTTTCCCTCAAAGGGTCGCACAAGGTCATGGACGACTTGTGTGCACGACTCTATTTCGGCCTTGCCTCGCTGGTAAATAGAAATCTTCTGGATACTGTCTGACCCAGACGATATCACCCCCGATACCTTGCCGGTGTTGGTCATACTGTTCTTGAGACTTTTACACCGCTGTATTGACGTCTCGAGACGTTCCTTTTGTTCTTTGTAAACTCCTATTAGTTTGCTCATGGATTGATCGTGTAACCTTTTGACGATGTTGTTTATGTTTTGGCTTTCTTCAGAAATACTATGTTCTGCTTCCTGTTTATTATGTTCCAGCAACTCCAGCTGGGTGCTGAAATCCTTCACGAGAGCGTCCATCACGTGCTCACCCTTAGCCAGGCGTGTCCTGATGACGGTATCGCTTGTGAGTTTCTGGGCGTACTCGGGCGGCGTAAGTACGCTGCAACATGTTCTGTGAGAGACTGCTACACATAGACTGCACAACAGAGCCTGGTGGTCCTCACAGAACAAACTCATTTTCTTCTTATGCTTGCTACATCTAATTAAAGCCGTATTTGCCTTTAACGGCGATTGGTTGAGCTCACTAACATGTAAGGTTTCCACATTCGAGTGAAGAAATCCGTGGAAGTCGTCCTCGCAGTTCTGGCACAGATATACACTACATATCCTACACCACCGGACAGCAGGGCTCTGTCTGTCCGTCCGCCTCCTACACGGATCACACAGTTTCCCAGTGGCAGTGTGCTGAGTGTATTTTATCATCTCAACAATCAGATTGTTTGTCGGGAACTCTGCAGCCCATGTGCCTTTATCCAAGCTTGAATCTGGAGGCATGGTGACTTTCCTGCATATGGGACAAGGAAATGTGGTCGGGTTATCGTTTTTTATGATACAATCTGACAGACACTTGAGACAGAATGTATGTAGACACGGCAGGGACTTGGGCTGGACTAGCTGCTCCAGACATATAGGACATTCTATCAGGAACGGGTCAACAGTAAGTGACGTTGTAGATTCCTCTGACACGAGGTTACCTCTGACGTCATCGACATCAGGTTCCGTTGTGTTACAACAGCTTGCAGTATCACCAGTAACTTGCGAGCTGGATTGTTTTGTCTCAGCCATGTTGATTTGATTGGAAAGATATGTCACCTAAAAGCATACAAACAAGATATATTTTCTTTTACGTTCTATTTACTCATTTTTCTTGCACAAGTAGATCTAGAATAAATTACACCCGAGGGTAATTTGTCTGTAAAGTCAGAATTACGGGCCGAGTAATACACCCCTGCAATGAACCCGAAACTATAACAAGTAGCATTACGTATATTTGTAAACTGGGAATGTTTTAAGACAATAAATCAATCAAAAAGACCTAGCGGTCATCGCTAAGTTACTAACGCCATAACGGCAAAATGCCATAAACAAACAACCAATGCAAATACTATCTGTGATATGTGCCGATGTCGATGTGACCAAAACGCCACCTTATCTTAAAATCTACAACCACCGCTGTTCTATCAATTACATCGAAGAAGCGCTTGGACCTGCTAGTCCTATAACCCGGGATTTCAACATGCCGTTTGATGCATTGGAGACCATGAAGCTTGTTTCTATTTACCATTGTCAAAGTGTGGATGACCAGCTGCGCGTCACCAAGAAACGACAACGAATCAACCAGATTGACCAACTATCCAATTAGACTAAATCGGAATAAGTAAAAGACTCTAGGTCATTTCTCTACATGCACAATGGAGGGGGTCGCCTCTACTTTGATGTGAATATTATATATACCCGATCAATATTGTTTAATTCTACATGGCAACTTTGTTAAATGTTTGTCATATTTATGGAATTCGATACTGTACGTATAAGTTACCTCTTACTTAAATGACATGTAGTAAACATATAAAAATACCTCAATGTATACATATAATATCAGTACATAGTATACGTAATAAGCGATCGGTACAAGTAACCACACATACGAATTCCCTGTTTAAACTGTCCTTGTTATCCCTCGAAGTTTAGCCTGTGTCTTTATGGGAACGTAAACAATGAGCAGGTTTATCTGGTTTCTCGTCTGCATTAGATATCACATGACTTTGCTACATCACTATACTGTAGGTAATCACATGATGAGGTGTTGTACACGCTTACCGTAAGTGTTCACACAAGTATTACCGCATACTTTATCGCAGTCAGTATATGTTCTGTTAAGGGACGGCCAATGTGCAAATCATTCTAGCTTAAAACGCACACACTAAACAGGTATAATGATATCTCTATGCTGCGGTTGTCTACAAACCTAAAGTATGTCGCCGATTACATGTATATAGTGTACCCTGAGTTATACAATTTGATCGACACAAAAAGATATATTAACCGATGCTACCAACAATACTTGTATTACGACCAAACATGCATTTCATGATGAAATAAATAATTGATAGTTTAAAATTGACAAACACCATCAGATGTGCTTCTATATAGGACATGACTGTTATACCAACCTGACAGAATGTTCCCTCGTTACCGGAAGTGACGTATACAAAGTACAAGTGTAGGTGTTTGATTTGGCGTATACGGATTGGCCATTTAAAGATAAACAGGCCTCAGCTTACATGTATGTTGTGGACCAGCATTCACCTGTCAGTCTATTAATATCTTTGAACTTATTGTTATCTAAGTACATAGATTGGTTTTGATCGAAAATCATCATTACCAGGTACATTTACAAAATGGGGGATGTAATCTTTATGTTTCGCTTATCACACTGTGCCCAACTTCCCGTTGGTTGGGTCCCATTTAGCTATTTTCTGTGCCCCACTTCTCGTCGGTCAGGTCCCATTTAGTTATTTTCTGTGCCCCACTTCCTGTCGGTCAGGTACCATTAATCTATTTTCTGTGCCCAATATCCCGTTGGTCAGGTCCCATTTAGCTACTTTCTTTCCCACATTTCCCGTTGGTCAGGTCATATTAAGCTATTTTCTGTGCCCCACTTCCCGTTGGTCATGTCCTATTAAGCTATTTTCTGTGCCCACTTCCTGTTGGTCAGGTCCCATTTAGCTATTTTTCGTGCCCCACTTCTCATGTTAGTAAGGTCCCATTTAGCTATTTTCTGTGCCCCACTTCCTGTTGGTCAGGTCCCATTTAGATATTTTCTGTGCCCCACTTCTCCTGTTGGTAAGGTCCCTTTTAGCTATTTTCTGTGCCCCACTTCCTGATGGTCATGTCCCATTGAGCTATTTTCTGTGCCCCACTTCTCGTCGGTCAGGTCCCATTTAGTTATTTTCTGTGCCCCACTTCCTGTCGGTCAGGTCCCATTAATCTATTTTCTGTGCCCAATATCCCGTTGGTCAGGTCCCATTTAGCTACTTTCTTTCCCACATTTCCCGTTGGTCAGGTCATATTAAGCTATTTTCTGTGCCCCACTTCCTGTTGGTCAGGTCCCATTTAGATATTTTCTGTGCCCCACTTCTCCTGTTGGTAAGGTCCCTTTTAGCTATTTTCTGTGCCCCACTTCCTGATGGTCATGTCCCATTGAGCTATTTTCTGTGCCCCACTTCTCGTCGGTCAGGTCCCATTTAGTTATTTTCTGTGCCCCACTTCCTGTCGGTCAGGTCCCATTAATCTATTTTCTGTGCCCAATATCCCGTTGGTCAGGTCCCATTTAGCTACTTTCTTTCCCACATTTCCCGTTGGTCAGGTCATATTAAGCTATTTTCTGTGCCCCACTTCCTGTTGGTCAGGTCCCATTTAGATGTTTTCTGTGCCCCACTTCTCCTGTTGGTAAGGTCCCTTTTAGCTATTTTCTGTGCCCCACTTCCTGATGGTCATGTCCCATTGAGCTATTTTCTGTGCCCCACTTCTCGTCGGTCAGGTCCCATTTAGTTATTTTCTGTGCCCCACTTCCTGTCGGTCAGGTCCCATTAATCTATTTTCTGTGCCCAATATCCCGTTGGTCAGGTCCCATTTAGCTACTTTCTTTCCCACATTTCCCGTTGGTCAGGTCATATTAAGCTATTTTCTGTGCCCCACTTCCTGTTGGTCAGGTCCCATTTAGATGTTTTCTGTGCCCCACTTCTCCTGTTGGTAAGGTCCCTTTTAGCTATTTTCTGTGCCCCACTTCCTGATGGTCATGTCCCATTGAGCTATTTTCTGTGCCCCACTTCTCGTCGGTCAGGTCCCATTTAGTTATTTTCTGTGCCCCACTTCCTGTCGGTCAGGTCCCATTAATCTATTTTCTGTGCCCAATATCCCGTTGGTCAGGTCCCATTTAGCTACTTTCTTTCCCACATTTCCCGTTGGTCAGGTCATATTAAGCTATTTTCTGTGCCCCACTTCCTGTTGGTCAGGTCCCATTTAGATATTTTCTGTGCCCCACTTCTCCTGTTGGTAAGGTCCCTTTTAGCTATTTTCTGTGCCCCACTTCCTGATGGTCATGTCCCATTGAGCTATTTTCTGTGCCCCACTTCCTGTTGGTTAGGTCCCATTTAGCTATTTGCTGTGCCCCACTTCCTGTAGGTTAGGTCCCATTTAGCTATTTTCTGTGCCCCACTTCTCCTGTTGGTTAGGTCCCATTTAGCTATTTTCTGTGCCCCACTTCCTGTTGGTCAGGTCCCATTTAGCTATTTTCTGTGCCACACTTCCTGTTGGTTAGGTCCCATCTAGCTATTTTCTGTGCCCCACTTCTCCTGTTGGTCATGTCCCATTGAGCTATTTTCTGTGCCCCACTTCTCGTCGGGGTCAGGTCCCATTTAGTTATTTTCTGTGCCCCACTTCCTGTCGGTCAGGTCCCATTAATCTATTTTCTGTGCCCAATATCCCGTTGGTCAGGTCCCATTTAGCTACTTTCTTTCCCACATTTCCCGTTGGTCAGGTCATATTAAGCTATTTTCTGTGCCCCACTTCCTGTTGGTCAGGTCCCATTTAGATATTTTCTGTGCCCCACTTCTCCTGTTGGTAAGGTCCCTTTTAGCTATTTTCTGTGCCCCACTTCCTGATGGTCATGTCCCATTGAGCTATTTTCTGTGCCCTACTCCCGTTGGTCAGGCCCCATTTAGCTATTTGCTGTGCCCCACTGCCTGTTGGTTAGGTCCCATTTAGCTATTTTCAGGGCCCCACTTCCCTTTGGTCAGGTCCCATTTAGCTATTTTCTGTGCCCCACTTCATGTTGGTTACTTCTCACGCACACTTTTAATTAGGTAATCCAGTGCCCAATTAGTTGTTAGCCAGGTCTCGTTTTACAATATAACTTTCTGGTTCCTCGGGGTTAAAACATTCAACACGTGAATGTATGTTACGCGTTGCATGTTATCTGAAAAACGCTTGTTTACGTTATTGAAGCAAGCTTGTTAAATGAAATCTGGGTTATCTTGTATCTTAAAGTAACCTTGGATTAAAGTACGGAGGTTCACTTGGGAAAGAGACACAGATATTTATGTTTACGATCAAGAGTGTAAACGTGTCTGGGTAATGCATAAGGTAGTAAAAAGCAGAGACACAATATACAGGTTCACCTGAGGTTCATTACAGGTACGGAGGACGAACGACACACAGGTAAAAAGTAGACACAAAACACAGGTACAAGTACAAAAGTCATGTCAAACACAGGAACAGAGGAGCCACGATACACAGGCATAATGTAGACACAGCATACAGGTAAAAATGATACATTATACACACATACAGGTAAAAATGATACATTATACACACATACAGGTAAAAATGATACATTATACACACATACAGGTAAAAATGATACATTATACACACATACAGGTAAAAATGATACATTATACACACATACAGGTAAAAATGATACATTATACACACATACAGGTAAAAATGATACATTATACACACATACAGGTAAAAATGATACATTATACACACATACAGGTAAAAATGATACATTATACACACATACAGGTAAAAATGATACATTATACACAAATACAAAGTAGACATCTTAAACTGGTGCAATGGACAAAATTCACAGGTACAAATGAAATACACACAGGTAAAATGAGAAATTGTACAGAGGTACAAAGGAGACATCGATTACATACATAGGTACACAGACGCCAAATGACCCGACACATAGACCAAAGGTAACTTGCATGACAACAGTAGAAGGTCATTATTTAGCGCGTTATTGTTTATCTGTTCGTTCAATTTTCAATCGCGGAGAAAGGAAAAAAGGGGCCAACAATTAAAATGCTTATCAATATAATGTCATTATTACGTAGTTAAATAACAGCATAACGATATTTAATAATTCAAAATCCTGTTTTTTTTAGGCAATAAATTGAAACAACGAAAATGACACAAATATGCTACCACAGATAGCTGGATACACCAGACTCTCGTTTAATGTCAGTTGATCAACAAGACGTTGTTAATGTGGAAAGTATGTGTTGTTTTATTGTAATGTTTGGTTTGTTATTTAAGAAAAAGTTCTAGACACAATTGTCATGCATATCCCGGGCTTGCGTGCATACTAGTACTTATAATATCTGTGTTGTTTCGAATGGGGAAAGACTTTGTGTCAAATATGAGCATACGGACAGTACTGGATTTTGAAGAGATGGCATAATGTGATAATCATTACACATAACTTGTCTTTCAGCTAGATGCATTTTACTGTGTAATCTAACAATCTACTTTGCTAGAGCAATATTTTGTACATTTAGCACTTTCAAGTCGGACAACGTACAACACAAAATTGCATAATGACATAGAACTGTAAAGCAAAACACAGAAGTGTCAATCAAAACATAGAACTGCTAACTAAATCACCAATAGGACATAAGAACAGCCAAATGAGACAAATGAACTGTCAAATGACAGTCAAGTATGACACAGAACTGTCCAGTTAGTCACAGAACTGCCCAGTAAGTCAAATAACTGCCAAGTAGGACACAGATCTAGAGCTGCCCAGTGAGACACAGAACTGCCCAGTATGACACAGAACTGTCCAGTTAGTCACAGAACTGCCCAGTAAGTCAAATAACTGCCAAGTAGGACACATAACTGCCCAGTGAGACACAGAACTTCCCAGTATGACACATAACTATCCAGTATGTCAGAGAACTGCCCAGTGAGACACATAACTGCCCAGTAAGAAACAAAACTTCCCGGTAAGACACATAACTGTCCAGTATGTCACAGAACTGCCAAGTGGGACACAGAATTGCCCAGTGGGACACAGTGCTGCCCAGTGGGACACATAACTGCCCAGTGGGACACAGAATTGCCCAGTGGGACACAGAACTGCCCAGTGGGACACATAACTGCCCAGTGGGACACAGTGCTGCCCAGTGGGACACAGTGCTGCCCAGTGGGACACAGTGCTGTCCAGTGGGACACAGTGCTGCCCAGTGGGACACAGATCTACCCAGTGGGACACAGAACTGCCCAGTGGGACACAGAAATGCCAAGTGGGACACAGAAATGCCAAGTGGGACACAGAACTGCCCAGTGGGACACAGAACTACCAAAGAAAATACAGAACTGTCATCTTAGACGAGAGCTTGTTTGACTCCACTAGGACTCCATAAAACTTCAACATAAACAGTGAGGTCTGGCCCGCCCTATTATTAGACCCGGCGAGAAGGCATCAGCAGAATGGATTCTGGCTTTGTTAGAACGTTAATAGCGCTGGTCATTTTCATCATCCAAGGCAAGTATCATTACATATACTCTCCAACTACTACTATGGATAAGGGTCAAACTATTTTTTTTAATGAATGACATATTTAGCACAATATAGTTATAACCTTTGCCCCTATGTCTTACATTAGTTCCCTGTACATGTAGCTGAGGGATCGATAAGTTTTAAAACTGAAGAGCAAACATGTGTGTCATAATACTACGTATTCATGAACGTCATTGTACATATTAACATTTTCTTTCGACTGGATACTTCAAAAATTTTGACCGGATGTAGATATTTCAATTTTAATTTGCATCAAACCAGATGAATGCTCACTTTTGTGTTCGTGTAAATATCTATTCATTTTTCTGATACGACAGCAGCGATACTGCAAAACCAGATGTAACACATTTTTATGTTACTATAAGATTTTCTAGTAGTGTTCAACTTGCCTTTGGACCACTGAGGCTTTGAAAAAATTCAAACTGAAAAACTCTCATGATGGACATTAATAGATTTGAACTTGAAAATATTAAAAATGTGACTGTAATTCATTTGGGATTTTCAGATTTTTGAAAGGGGAAAAATACTGACTCGGAATAAGAACAAGGCATTTTAAGATCATGGGAGCCGGAGTGTATTACTAAACTATTTATATCCATGTTACATGTACGCTTCGTCTATTGTTTCTATTAGATATGTCATAAATTGTTACCATCCACTCATCCATAAACCTTAAATAGGCTTACAATTTGATGCTTTAAAATTTAATCAGATACCTTCAAATGTTATAATCAAACTTATCCTTTTGATGATGTGTTAGATAGATATATGATTTCGATTGGTTTATTTTTGTAGCTTGTCACAGTAAGGCTTGTTATTAACGATATGCTTTATGTGACCATTTTATGTTGCAAGGACATTCATCCTCGAACAATCAAGAAATATCTTTAAAAAGGACAAACCACAGAATGTTCTTAAGGAACCCTATCCCATGACACTGTTGCTTTTCCTATGAACAGTAACCTCCCATTAAGTTCCGATTGGATATAACTGTTTCACAATTGGTCAAGGACACTTCCATTGACCAGGTAGCTCAATCGGTAAGAGCGATATTATAACACTCTGAAGCCCCGGGATTCGAATCCCTGTTTAGCCCCAGTGAACCTTTTTAAGCTCGGAACACTGTTGTTGATTATGTATTGTCCATTTCATCTGCATTGTTTTTCATAAACATCCCGCAAGATATGTGTTTCTTAATATAACAGGTTTATCAAAGCTATAATTCTTCCGGGAAAAAGAATTCCCGTTAAGTGTCAGTTTAAAGGGAGATAACTCGTAGTTAATATATGTTTATACATCAATGTATACCGATATGACAGATGGCATGGATAGTGTAAGGTCAGCCTCTATGGCATAAAACGAAATATAACTGTTAAACATTCGAATTATGAGCACGTATTCATCTTCAGATATACGCATGAATTCATACGAACTAACTTTAGCAGCTGTACGTATTACTACCCAATACCCCCCCGGCTCATTCCCCGAACACCAACTCTGGAAAATTGAAAGGAAGGTGTTTATATAGGAAATCCTTTGAAGTTTACTTAAAGCCGGTTTCAACTAAGAATTCAAAAATTTTGTAGATAGGATTCTAAAGTCAATAATAAAATGGAAAACAAGTTTTTATTCATACATATAACTGTAATAAATAATATATGATAATTCACTCAAATTTGAAAAAAGTACAAGTTTAACTAAAATAATGACATATTCTGAATACAATATTCTCATTCACTGAGTAAAGAACTTGATGTTTCAAAGTACAGAGCGAAATATGATAATTCTCCAAAATGTGCTGCTGTTTTATATACCGAACAAAAAAAAGAAACGCACAATTAAATTATGCAATCAATAGCCTATGCTATTTTGGGAAATTTGTACAAAATTTTATATCAATACGAAGGGACAGGTCTACTCTTTACAATACTAAAGGAAGAAAAGTCTGTGTGACGTTACTCGTGTCATCAGTAGTTACTCAAAGTGGGATACCCGCGAAAAACAAAATAACACTTCAGTACCTGGTGTGGGCACCTTTTGCACGAATCCCTGCACGGATTCTCCTATGCATTGAATTCATGAGAACATTTATTCACCTTAAGGGAATGTTGTTCCATTCTTGTGGTAATGCTGCGATCAACTGGGCGCGGTTAGTTGGGGGTTTTCCTACTCATCCCACAGACGCTCAATGGGAGACATGTCGCGATCGGGGCTATATGGGGGCCATTCCAGAGGCTGAACGTTCTTTGCCGTGAGAAAATCACGACAGACTCTGGAAACATGCGGTCGAGCATTGTCTTGCTGGAAAAATTGGGTTATGACGTCTGAGAAGTGGAAGGACATGTGGTTGGAGGATATGGTCTCTGTATCGAACGGCATTGAGGTTTTGATCCAGGACCACTAAGGGGGATTTTACTCCATGGGAGATGCCTCCCCAAACCATTACAGAAGCCCCACCGAATCTATCGCGTTCAACCACGCATGCGTCGGCGAAACGCTCACCGCGTCTGCGATATACCCTTTTTCTTCCGTCTGAGCGATACAGACAGAATCTAGACTCGTCGGTGAACATCACACGCCTCCATCGACGCATCCCAAACCTATTCNAAGGTGGCCCGACAACTTTGTGCGTTTCTTTTTTTGTTCGGTATACATTACCCATTTAACAGCTTGGGATTGGAACTCTAACAATACATTTGTCTGATTTTGAAAACTTTTCTAAATATTGATTATCATTTTGCAATTATTAGCAGTTATTGATTTAACTGTGCAATTTACCTGTACACCATTTCTGCAATAGACTATACCTCACTATCATCACAACTGACCATCTACGTAAAAATGTTTATTTAAGCAGAGTTGGTGTTCAGGGAATCCACCTACCCAATTCAGCTTCATGTTGCCCATAGGCTAAGGAAAAGATCCGATAATAAACCTAGGTCCATAGTAGATAAATTCTCTAGGAGGAAAGATAGAGACAAAGTGTTGAAGGCTGCCCCAAAACTAGCGGGGAAAAGAGAATTCTCTGTATTTGAGCAATTCCCGACGGAAATAAATGACAGGCGACGTTTACTCTATCCGGTGTTTAAGGAAGCCAGGAGGCATAGAAGGCACGCTCGCCTGCAAGGTGATAAACTCTACATTGACGGTAACCTTTACAACCCACCTCAGCATCAGCATCCTAGTCATCCTCCCAGCGGCCGAGATCATCCTCCTGATTCTCACAGAGGACCTGGATGGCACTCATCGGCCCAAGGACGGAAGACAGCCACGCCCCCTATATAGCTAGTGGTCAGCATCAGTTCCGTAATGCTCGTCACGTGCCAGACCCCGGCAATGACAGTCGCCCCATGTAGGGAGACGCGACAAGAGGTCAACCCGTGACATTGATAAAGACACTATCAAGTTTACTTTCCTTAATGTTTGCGGTATTAAGTCTAAGATACTTTTGCCCGAGTTTGAAGACTTAATCTTAGCACATGACATACTTATTTTTGCAGAGAGCAAGCTTGATAATTTGGATCATTTACAACTACCGTCTGACTATGAATATTATGCTAAATGTAGAACTAATGCATATACAAAATCTGGTGGTATAGTAATTATCTTTAAGAAAACTCTCAAGTCGATGTTGACTTTTCCTAAAACTTTATCAGAGTATGTATTATGGGTAAATTTTTCAAAACACATTGTGAAGTCTGATAGATTTTCTACTGGGATGTGTTTATATACCTCCCGAAAATACTAAGTATGCATACCCGGAAGCGTTCAATGAAATTGAAAGGGAGATGATAGAATTATCCCATCATGGTAACAAAGTCGCCATAGTCGGAGATTTTAATGCTAAAACCCAAGTTAGAGATGATTTTGTAGAACCAGATGAATACTTTCTTCGTTCATTAAACTTAGATGAAAATGAAGAGTTATACTCATATCTCTATGATAATGAAAAGTTGAAATTATATAATGTTCCTCTACGAAGGGCTAGTTAATGTAAAGCTAAAGTTAACAATTATGGCAATAAATTGCTTGACTTCTGCAAGCAAAATGATATGTATATTGCCAATGGTCGGATTGGAAATGATGCACAAATAGGTAAAACTACATGTAGTGAAGACAGCGTTATAGATTATTTATTGCTGTCGTCAGATATGTTTCGTTATACAACAGATTTTGAAATCAAAGTTTTTGACCCACTAATATCAGATGTCCACTGTAGACTTGTATGTAGCCTTTGTATATTTACTGATGAATGTATTTATAATACCGAATGTCATGAAAATCGATATACAAAGTGGAAATCCTGTAAAGAACAAGATTTTGTAAAACATATACTAGATGATGAAAGAGGTACGTAATCTCCATAGAATTAATGATAAATTAAATGAATTATTAAATAAACAACACGACAATGTAACTAATAACGAAATTAATGACATTGTAAACTCAATTAGTGAATTGTTCAAAGGCTCTGCTAAGAAGGTTTTTTGGTAGCAACAATGCTTACAGGAAACAAAGGTTGAGGTGTGATAATAAGCCTTGGTTTAATAGGGAATGGCACTTAAACAGAGTTGAATTTAATAAAGCCAAGGCCTTATTTCACAAAGTAAATAATCCTATAAAGAAAACTAATCTCAATAGAGCTAGTAAAGTTTATAGAAAATCATTGAATAAAAGTTACAGAAATTATCAGGAGAAATTGTCAAACGAGTTGAGATATACTGCTAGAATGGATTCAAAAAAATTCTGGAATATTTTGAATAAATGTGACGATCTGTAAAGAAAGGTAATGCTGATATATGTATCACTGAATTATATGAAATACTTTAAGGATCTGAACAAGTCTGTTCATGATGATGACGATTTTGAGCTGGAAAATCATGATAATAGTATTTTTGATGATTATCTGAATGGTGAAATTACCACTGATGAAATTAAATTTCTTTATTCAATTTGAAAAATAGTAAAGCCTCTGGCATAGATCAAATCCTAAATGAATATCTCAAAAGTACAATGGATGTATTTTTACCAACTTATCAAAAAATATTTAACCTTATTTTGAATACTGCGTCTATACCAAAATTGTGGAAGATTGGTATTATAAAACCAGTATATAAAAACAAAGGCGATCCCAAAGATCCGGATAATTATAGAGCGATCACTTTAGTCTCGTGCCTTGGCAAAGTTTTCACTTCGGTTATTAATAATCGTTTAAATAAAATTTCTGACGAATTTGACCTTATAAGCTGGGTTTAGAAAGGGTCATTTTACAACCGATAACATGTTTGTATTGTATTCTTTAATCTCAATATATTTTTCATTAGGAAAAAAACTTTATTGTACGTTCATCGATTTTAGTAAGGCGTTCGATTCTGTTTGGAGAGTTGGTCTGTGGAAAAAGCTCCAAAAAAGCAATATTACTGGAAAAAAATTCAATATTATGTTTACGTTATATGATAAAACCAAATCGTGTGTTTAAAAATGGATGTGAACAGTCGGATTTGTTCAATTGTGAGATCGGTTTAAAACAGGGCTAACATTTATCGCCATTTTTGTTTGCAATTTATTTAAATGATTTAGAAACTTATCTTGTTGAAAAAAATGTAAATTGTCTTCAAACAATAGACAAACTGTGTATTGACAACATTGGAGTATATCTCAAACTATTCATTATCTTATCGATGATACTGTCCTGTTTTCAGAAACACCAGATAGTTTACAATTAGCTTTAAATGAATTTGAACAATACTGTAATACTTGGAAGTTAACTATTAATTCAGGGAAAACAAAAGTTGTCATCTTTTCAAAAAGAAAATGTGCAATAACTCCCCATTTTACATTATGTAACGTAGAATTAGAAATACTGGAAGGGTATACCTACCTAGGATTATTCTTTAATCTTAGTTGTAGCTTCTTTAAAGCAAGGCAAAAAAATTGTTGAACAAGCACAGGAATCAGTGTTTGCTGTCTATCAGAAATTGAGAAACATATCATTACCAGTTGATCTACAATTGAAGATATTTGATTCATTAATCATGCCAGTTCTTCTGTATGCATCAGAAATATGGGGTTTTGAAAACACAAATATTATAGAAAAAATCCATCTTCAATTTTGTAAATATATACTAAATGTAAGAAAAAGTACATCCAATTTCATTGTTTATGGTGAGCTTGGAAGATACCCACTAGACATCGAAATTAAATGTAGAATAATAGTATTCTGGCATAAGTTGATTACCTCTAGTAAGTTATCAAGTACTATTTATAAGCTTATGTATACATTACATGAAAATGGAACTATGTTATTTAAATGGCTCGCATATGTTAAAGATATTTTTTCTCAAACTGGCCTGAACTATGTGTGGTACTATCAATCTACATGTTCTTTTTCAAAAGACGAAATTAAGAGGCTTGTGAAAAGTAGACTGAAGGATCAATTTATACAGAAATGGTTTGATAATATTCTTAACTCCTCTAGAGGACAAACATATTCAATATTAAAGANATACATTATGTAATTCCGACGTTGGAGATGAATTTCATTACTTATATATATGTGAAAGTGATTTAGTTAAATGTCTAAGAGAGAAATATATACCAAAATATTTTTTCACTTATCCAAGTCAAATAAAAATGAAAGGATTGTTTAATATATTTAATGTAAAAATTTACACAAAAGTTTGTAGATTCCCAGAAAAGCTTGAAAAAATATTAACTTAATTTCTGTAACTATGCTATATACATGTTGTAATTGTGTACATCACACGCCATGTATCATATTTACTATATGTATGTGACCTCTTGTTACACACGTAAGTGTGTCGGAGTGAATAAATAAAACTTGAACTTAAACTTGAACAACCCATCATTTAGTTTGCACTGAATGAGCCAAGTGCCGTGATAGGAACAGAAACTTAAACAGCTCTGCCAAAATACTGTTGATGTTCTCATATGTCGTGTTGTTAATACTGTGGCAGATTTAATTGTATTCGCGGTAGAGGTACGTACTCTTTAGCTCAATCTCGCACTCATCCAGAGTTAAATATTGTACTTAAGACTGCATAAACAGTTCTCCCGTTTATCAATAAGCCGGGTTAAACCGGAAGTACAGTGGGAGTGTCTTCCATTATAACCCGTCTTATCAATATGTTTGTTTTAGGGTTTTATTCCATCACCGGTCTCACGCTATGTGACAATACTAAAAAGACCCACAGTCTCAGCCAGAGTAACTTTCCACGGAGTGACATTTGTAATGATCGACCGAGCTGTGTGGACGGGAAGAGATGTTCATTTGCCAAACTCTCGTGTCGGCCTGGCTACTCCATATACGACCCAGAGGTTCAGGGCCTACACTCATCAGAGATTGGCACGTGCACTGGACAAACAATACACCTGCTGATCGATACAACCGAGTGTTACTGGACAAACGCGTGCACGGTTAAATTCCCTGAAGTGCCTATAATCGTAAAACACCTGGACGGGGATGAGGACTGTCGCGGGAAATGTATACACGCCGTGCATGTAAGAAAATGGCAATGCATTAAGGACACAGGTAAGTCTGACTTCAAATCTTCTTGTCTGATCTATATGACTGAACATAATCTAACATAACACCATTGTCTGAGATCTTACATATTGTCTGACACCGATCATACTTGCTATACCTCTACATCATTGTGTGTCCCCAAGCGTCAAACAACATAGATAACAGGGAAAGCAACCACCAAATAAGTACGATTAGCTAAATACCTAACCATTATACAGGTTAGATAAACATGGAAAACAATCGTCAAACAGGATCACCGATCACTGGACTAGTTAGATACGCATAAACATAGGCCATCACACTAGCACGATAAACATTAACCATCACACAAGTTAGATAAACATAAGCCATCACACTAGTAATATAAGCATAAACCATCACACAAGCTAGATAAACATAAACCATCACACTAGCAAGATAAACAAACAAAAGCTATCACACAAGTTAGATAAACATAAACCATCACACAAGTTAGATAAACAAACACAAGCTATCACACTAGCAAGATAAACAAAAGCCATCACACCAGTAAGATGAACATAAACCATCACACAAGTTAGATAAACATAAGCCATCACACTAGCAAGATAAAAAAAGCCATCACACCAGTAAGATAAACATAAACCATCACATAAGTTAGATAAACATAAGCCATCACACTATTTAGATGAACATAAGCCGTCACACAAGTTAGATAAACATAAACCATCACACAAGTTAGATAAACATAAGCCGTCACACAAGTTAGATAAACATAAGCCATCACACAAGTTAGATAAACATAAGCTATCACACAAGTTAGATAAACATAAGCCATCACACAAGTTATATAAACATAAGCCATCACACAAGTTAGATAAATATAAACCGTCACACAAGTTAGATAAACATAAGCCGTCACACAAGTTAGATAAACATAAGCCATCACACAAGTTAGATAAACATACGCCATCACACAAGTTAGATAAACAAAAGCCATCACACCAGTAAGATAAACATAAGCCATCACACAAGTTAGATAAACATAAGCCGGTATCATTAACATGGAATACACACTGTCATTCTAATTAAGCCACCATCAGCACCTCGTTCCTAAATAATACTCCAATAGTATATTGACCTTGTATGTTTAAAATTAAGCCGTACATCCTAATTAAAATTAGGCTTGTTATTTCGCTCAACCACCCCTAATAATGTATCGGAGAGGATCGGTAGTGGATCGAAATTACAAGTATTCTTTGAATTAGATTGTTAAGCCGTATTGACGAATTCTAGAATTTAATCAAGATGGTTGTACCGTTCATTTGAGACTATTTTATTTATGTTATTTACCTCTGTTTCCATCGTTACACAGTGATTCATCAGATGTGTGACGATTCCACAAGTTTCATCCTCGGCCAGACTGTGGACGGGCGCCAGGGCGTGGTTCGGAGTCACGAAGATTGGCCTTTTCAGTATAACAATCATGTTGTCCCCGGGGGTGTTACGGAATGCAATAAAACGTTCCATCCCCACCTCTCGGGGGTAAGCGATGGTTTCACCAGATTAGCACTGTCTGTCGTCTTCTTGGATATCCGACCGCAGTACGAGACTCTCCGCGCTGTGTCCGACAGCAAAGTAGTGGTGTTTAAAAACACGGACAAATCCGCTGTGCATGTTTTTCCAGAGGGCAAAAAAGTGGTCCTGAGTCTGAGGAAGGTCGGGGGTATATACAAAAAAGAACGGCAACTAGGTAGATCAGGATTCGTGATCTGCTTCAGATGTAAGTACTGCTACGAAGACTCAATACGTTTACTCACGTTTTTACATATTTTGTAATCATGAACTTAGCTATCTTTTTTCTAGCTTGTATTCGTTAAGGTTTTGTAAAAGCAATATGAAACCAACCACATTATGTGAAGGAGAACGCCCCAAAACTTTTTATTCTATGAGCCCTGGGTATTTATAGTTCAGTCAAATCTGTCTCGAGGGACTCCCGAATACGCACCAGAAAGGTTCTCATCACGACATATTGTTATGCAATGTGTCTAAAAGGATGCTGTCCAGTCGCTATACAGTAGATTTCATTTCATTTCAAATATATTTTATTGATTAAACAAAAAGATTGAGCAACAGGCTTTGCCTATCTAAGCTCTCTCCATGGCTTCCAGCATACTTTTGATAGTTGAAGACATTGAATACAATATTTTACATACATACATTATATTTCAACTCATCTCATGACACTTGGGTACATTTATTGCGAGGTTATATACAATAATTAGGCTGGATTATTATTTTCATGTTTCTACAAAATTACATGGACTTCAGATAAAAAAAAGAGATAAAAAAATACACACTTTGCGATATTGATACTTAATATAGTTGTAAAATTTGTGTCAAGACGAATTAAATATACCGTTATGGATATACACAGTATTCCATACTGAATTAAATATATGGATAAACGTCTTGACCTTGAGCCACTAACATTTTGCTATGGCAACATGAAATAAAGCCAAACTGATACATGCGTGTATGCTGATAAAGAAATGTACCCGGACTTATTTGAAGTAGATATATGTCTTGAGATGAGTTGGAAAATCAAATAGAAAATGAACTAAAAGAAAACTGAAAAAAATGAAAACATAAAAAGAACACTTAATAATTATATAAGAACACAAAAAAATCTCGAACACTCGTGATCACTTCTACTGGCATGGGTTTGTTGGTTTATTTAATGTAGTTTATATTTGTTTTAATTTAATGTGCAGTTGGGCATTAAATATGATAAAAAAGTACACTAGTTCAAAGGATACACATATTCCGTCTTTGCGTATTGCAGAGTTATCTTCTCTTGTGAGCAGGTATTTATTGTTACGTCATTGGTTTGTGTGAGAAAAATACGGCGTTTTCTCAAAAATTGATGACGTTACTCTCACAAACAAGTGACGTAACAATTAATACCTGCTCCCAAGAGAAGATAACTCTGCAATATGCAAAGACGGAATATGGCATTTTGGTATTTTTTAAATAATAAATTATTTGTTTTTTCAATGATTAAATAAATTATAACTATTGATTTACTTTACTCCATCATACCTTAAATGTCATGACCACATAAAGTCCCTGGACATTTGTTGCCAGGTGATCTATCAACCATGGCATATTATATATAAATATATATATATATACATTATCCACTATCAACAGAAATAATGAATTTATCTTACAGAATACAAACAATACATCAACCACAATCAGCTTGTATATTTAACTTAATTTAATCTATTTGAACCGTCCTGTAACATCAATGTATTTATGCACACACTCCATCAATTGGTTGTTCTGTAAATCAGTATTATTAGTGTTACCATTTAGAATAGTATTTAAAGATATTGTATTATGGAAATCTCCATCATTTAATATCAGATCCTGCATAAGAGTTTGTCGTTCATCTGTATAGAGAGGACATTCAAAACAGAAATGGTAAGAGTTTTCAATTGCGTGACTACAAGGACAGTTTGGACTATTTTTCAAGTGATCTTTAAACAGATCATAGTTAAGTTGACTAGCACCATTTCTTAATTGACACATTAATATATTACTTTTTCGTGAACCATAGTATTTAAATACATACATTTTGTTCTGTGTCCCCTTCACTTGTCTTAGATGGCTCGGTAGATATTGCAAGCAAGTTCATTATATCGCAAACCAGGCTACATAATCTGAAAACAAAAAATAAAACCAGTACATCTGGGGCAGTAAACTCGTAGGATCATTACAAAAGACAAACTTACACATCCATTTTTGTCTTGGTTTTGATACATCTTCCCGTAATGTTCAAACCAGCCAATTAATTTTTTTACATGTGAAACACACCGCAAGAAAACTATACACACTTACTTGTTTTGCTTCCCTTAAAACTTCAAATACAGATGTATAATATTTTACTTAAAATTTGTCATAAAAACCTTCTATTTTATTTTACAATTAACCCTGGTTTACAGATAGCTGAAATAACGTGGTTGCACACTTTTCCAATACCTTGAAACGTCGTGTAGAAATTTAATCACTCTTTGAAACGAATACCCGCCTTGTGTGTCGACCCCATTTCACGATGCAAAGTGATCTTCAACGACTTTTCTATGGAGTTTTAAATTTTATTGCTAGGCCAATATTTTTGTAGTTTGTATGTGTATATGGTACCTGTTTAGGGTTTGGGGTAATGGTTGTTTTGTTGGACTTATTAACTTAAACCACTATTTGGCTTTAGCTCTCTCCACAATTCTTCCAAATCATTGAAAAAACATAATCTGTACATAATCTATATAAGAGAATCTATATTTGGTTTGAGCATGAGCTGGTACAGCTGTATAATGCAACCTGAAACAGGCTTTCAGACATTGTCCATCTGATCTCATCTTGTGAAACATAACAGTTATTGAAACGTGTATGATGTTCGTGCTTATTTGCTGATGATAAGGTGATTATTTTGGTAATAGTTTTGAAGAAGGGAGAATCCCCGCGAGGTGATGACGTATGCGGTGATGTGTTCAAGCCCAACCGGAAGGACGCCAAATGTGTTAGTAAGTACGTTCCATGCACACTCTCGTTTCTTTTCAAAAATGTCAGAACCTGGAACTGATGTGGAGAGTAAGCTCACAAATGTTACCAATACGCTCGTTTTTCTGAAAATTCCGATTTCCTATGACATGTATTGCCGAGCTTTCTGGTAAAGCAGAGTTGTCTACCTTCCCACACGGTTCAGTCATTCTACGAAGCAAAACACGATTTATGTGAAAAAGTGTCGTTAAGTTCTCAGACTTGTGAAGACAACAATATAATAATGATACCACCAACAAATAGAAGCTGTAATGTAAGTTGTGTTTACACCCAAAAAGTTGCATAACATGTATTTATATCCGTTGGTAATGCTGCCTTTGATGAAACTACAGTTTTTGTTTTTGTATTGAACTATCTGGAATTCCTCGTTTCGAAAACAAAATATTAAAATATCACCAACAAACAGATGCACCCAAAATGATACGTAAAATGTTTTAATAGGAGTAATAATTCAAATGTACATCGATGTGTTTTTTCAATAAAGCACGAAAGTCAAGAAAGTTTTAATATCTACTACTAAAAAAAGAAAAGTGTGTTTGCACTCGTAAGACAAATTGTCCATCTTCTGAAAGAGTGTAGATTCTCCTTACTGTACAAGACTTTATTTCGAGTCTATCTCTAGTACGAAATCACTGTATGGTATCCAAACCGAAATGTAATATTCAGACAGGTTGAGGAGGCTTAAGTGACAAACACTGAGTTCAGGAGAATATGAGGTGATATGCTAGAGTTTGTATAAAACAAAAAAACGACATTTGAAATAGCAGCGTATTTCGTTAAACTGGAATGACAGATCAAATGACAAGAGTGGCATTCAAATATTTAATATGAGAAAAAAACCTTTGCATTTAGTTAAAACATGGCACAATAACTCAAACTATGTAATTTCGAAACCAACAGTTAATTCTTTTACGAACATATTAGATGGATGTTGGGCTGGACAAGAACATTTTAACAATTATTAGTACGATTTCTTGAAAATTTAGTGTTACTATTATAACTAATTTATTGATATTTGTTGTTTCTGGATACTGGAGTCCGGAGTAGAGAACCAGAAATGACCCTATAACAATTAATGTAAATATGTTTTATACAGACTGTAAATACAGGAAGCGGGGTAAGAAAATCCGGGAATACTGTGGGGGCGACATACCGGGGGTACGGGTATACAACGTCACTCTGGCCAACTCTAAGGCTAAGAAGCAAATTAAGGACGGCTGCAGTCCCTGGACCATGGTGGACAAACCGTGTAAGAAGAGAAAGAAACCATTGGACAGTGAGTCAAGCCAACAGTCATTTTTATCACAAATACAACATCATTTGACAATTATTTTTCACATGTTTGTTGGTTACGTTGTTAACGTTATAGTTCAATGTGTTATGACGATCTTAGATATTTGTTATTTAAACTGTCATATATTAGGAGGCACGGTAGTCTAGTGGTAGGACGCCGGGCTCGTGACCGAAGGGTTGCGGGTTCTAGTCACGGCACGGCACCGTGTTGTGTCTTTGAGCAAGATACTTTACTCCGCTCATGAGTACGTGGTTGGGCAGTGCTAGAATTGTAGAATGCTAGCTGTCAGCGCCGAAATGGCAACACCGGCTGTATGCTCCCCAGGGAGTTGAGAAAGATATTGGCTAGTTGCAAAGACCTTATAACCAAGGATAATAATTTGTGAACCGCTTTGAGACGACCTACAAACTAGGTTGTGATAACGCGGTATATACGAACCTCGAATTATTATTATTATATCATCGAAGACAAAGGGATGACATTGATGAATTTGATTAATTTAGAATTTTAACATGAATTTCATCGGTTCGTAGTAATTCACTCTTAACCAAGTTATCAAAGTTCGTTACGATATAAAAAACAATTTTGGGTGTAAAGGACTTCATTGAAAAATATGTAACCCTCGACATTTTTTAGTAAATGTGTTGATTCAGACTTTTAAAGAAGTTTTCATTGAATGTTCTTCATACATTAAACATTACAACATAGACATGTTTTTATTTCTCCATCAGAAGTGTTTTAAATTCCTCCATTCAGGTGTTTTGTTTTTGTTTTCTATATTATCATCTGTAAAATCCTTGGCATCAAAGGCACTATACACATGTCCTTATCCCATGTAGGGACAGCCATTCTTAACACCCAGGTGATTTTCAGGTGACTTTCCTTGCTCATAACTCCTTCCGAACGGAAATTAACAAGTGTTTTAGTCTCTTCATAAAATTATAATGGTTGCTGAGGATTAACAAATGGTTAACTTTTCGATCACTTGTGCTGACAAAATTCACATAACGCGGCCACAATAATTAAATAACTATGAGATACGATTTAGACATAGCGTATGGAAATGAACTGTTGCGTGATTTGTGCATATCATTAAGCAAATTTATAACCTCAAACATATTTCTCGCGGCTTGTCTTGTCAGTGTGTAAAACAACATCAGTCACTCGACAATGTCACACAAATTTTGACAGAAAGAAAGTGTACACATCTTGACTGTTGTTTATCTTATTTGTCAAATTTCCGTAGGTTATTTATAGATATTGAAAATAAAAACAACACATCCGAAGCTCGTATTTGTTCTAAAATATCAAAACATTCAGTAACACGAATTCAATAAACATGATAACTTACAATGTACGATCGCGTGTTGTTTAACCCATGAGTAACACATTCTGAATTAACAAATCAAATAATGTAATTTTCATGTATAGCTTCAGTTTCTAATAGATTATATTGCACTTTCTAGCTTCTAAGATGTTTGCCCGACTTTAAACAACGACATAGTCATTATAATAGATGGTTACAGAGACAAATATAATCCCCAAACAGTTGTAAAGTACACAACACCAGCACGATTGTCCCGACTGACATCGTAACCCACGAAACACCGACACATGTTAACAGTGTAAGCAAACAGCTGCGTCTGACAACTGGGAATATCGTTGTTATGATGCGAGTGACCAACACACCCTCTCTCTCTTCTTTCCCTTTTAGAGTCTAACAAATGTTATTTTGTCATTTCAGAAAGAAGACCCAAAGTAAGGAGACGTACCCGCAAAAAGAAAAAGAATCGGGGCCAAGGGAAGAAGCGGGGAGGGTCAAGGGGCTGAGTGTAAGGGGACTATGTGGGGATGGGTAAGGGTATGCTTAAAGGACACATGGATTGTTAAAGGACGGACAGATGAGGAGATGGTAGTATGTGCTGAGTGGGGACAAATGAGGGACTGAGTAAGAAACATTGAGGGAAGGGTAAAAGGTTGAAAAGTGAAGGACGAAGAACGGACATGGAGATGGGAAACAGGAAAGATGAGTGATAACTGAAGGGAAAGGAATGACAGACGAAATGTGGAAAGATACAAGGAGTGGTTTATGATTAAAAGGCTTTGTGATAAACGAGTGGCTTATTAGAAGATGGAGAGGGAGCTTAGAACAGGACGAAATGAATTCTATAATAAGTTGGCATTATAGTTGCAAAGTCCCCACATCACCATAAAGGTTAGCCAACACTATATAATCTTTTGAATTGTATATACGTCATCATTAAAATATTAAATGAACAAAGAAGTACGTGTTGGCGGAGTTTGTCGTGTCTAAATGTGTTGCATTCACCCTTCCATAAACCTGGCCAGCTGTCCAAGGGAGACAACCAATCTGTTTGTGCAAAGTATAATCGGATTAGGTACATTGCTCACGCATGGCGTTTATGTGAATGTGCCCTACCCCTTTCAGCTGTTCAACAGCAGAATAATCCGAATTATCTGATAGGTCAGCTAAGGGCAGAGACGCACTGTTATAAGAAATATAATTGGAAAATGAGATTCACAGCTGCTTTTATTGCAGATAAAATCAAGGTCAAAAGTTATCGACAATCTGTAGTACATGTAGATACATGTAGTACAAAAACTTACTTAACAAAAATGTTAACAAAACCACAATTTAAACTCAACAGAAAATTAGGGCAAAATATGTACACAGGAGCGATGTACGTGGAGGGCCTAGGAATTGTAATGATAATAAAACCAGATGTTCCGGAAGGGTAAGCGTCATCTGTTTCTGGGTTAAATCCAAATGACGCCACATCCACATAGCAGGAATCGGGATGGTGACCTTCATATGTGGTTAAAAGTCAACAATTACGTTACTCTATGGTCACTGTCAGAAATTAAAATAATATCTAGATCCACTGCTTGATGTCTTATTATGACGTATAATTTCGAATTCAATGTAAATATGCTTCAAAACAGGCCTGACCCAAGGATAATGAAACGATCTTAAATCTAAATTCATCTGAAGTTTGGACTTAGCCAATCACAAATAACGTCATAAAAGGTGACGTCATACGTGATTGGCTAAACAAAATCTTCAGTCTAGGAATGTTTCATGAGCCTGGGCCCTGGAACTGTTTCATTAATCTAAATACTGCATTCCAAATTCCCGAGATAACTGTTTATTGCTGTAAAAAGAATACATATGAATGGTTCATTATTTTTGTATCTACATTGCATTGATAATAGAAAATCAACAGACCTTGTGAAGGATTTAATATTTTAGACAAATGTTTATTGCTGTAAAAAGAATATCTAAATTGCATTGATAACAGAATATCAATAGTCCTTGTGAAGGATTTAATTTTTAGGGCCATGCTGATATGGATTGCAGTTGTAAATAGCTTGATATTTTGTCATTGACAGTGAACAATCGTTTCATATACCTGCCTATATCAAATGTTTGTTATATGTATATGTATCACCAGAAACCCTTACAGGTTCATATTGGCGCATATGATATTAAGGAGAACCAAGCTACACCCGTTTTCACACTTATACTGTTATCAAATCAACTTCTATTCTCTAGGTGTCAACTAGTAAATACATTTCAAAAACACAGTTACAAACTTAACGATTAAATACATAGACAAGTAACATCCATCAATACAATATCTCAACTTCCTCACAACCGAATATTACATAATACTTGCATTTATGTACTTCTTCCAATACATCACTCAAATGTCCACTCACATTCAACAAGTTTAAAAGTTTTAAGCTCACGTATCATAACTATATAAAAAAATCACAACAAAGTCCCAAGACTCGAACGTAGAATTGTTTGAACCAGCGAGCAGTAATGAGGAATGAAGCTCTGGTAGCAGTGTACAGTAGCGTACGGTGGCCATGGGTGAAATGTTTGTACAATGAATAACCCCGGTAATATTACATGTATCAAATGTTAAAAAAAATCAGCTCTAAAATTGGCATATACATGATGAATTGGACTATGTGAGTATTTCTGTGACCGAGTGGATGATATTTAATTTAAGACAGGTTTAAAGAAAAAAAAATACTACTTGCGTGGGTCAAATTTTGGGTTTTGCATTTTTTGGCGTTTTTTGATGTGGTAATCATGTTTTTCACAAATCCCAAATCTGGGGAAATCACTTTTTGAAAAATATTCATTCTCCTAAAAAAACCGTTTTCAAAATGTAGTTTATAAATATATATATATATTTAAGTGTGTTGTGCAGGATAAATCCGCTATCCATGTTTATCCGAGACATGTCCTTTATTTTTAGGGTCAAGCCATTTCTACTGTACTCTGCTACCTCTGATGAACACTACGGAACTACATTATATTTTATGGGTTTACTGTACTCAATATTCGCATTTATAATGCAATCATTTAACTTCTCCATGAAGTACTGTTGAGTTATTAATTACGTATTATATTCACTGACTAATTTGTTTTACACAGCATTAATCACTTTTTAAATATTAGTACTTTGGAATCCCTTATCTTGCGAAATGTTCCTGAAATAACACATAGATAAACATAAAAGCAAAAGAATTTCACCTACATTGCACTCAATTAGGAACAAGTCCAGAACTTTCGGAACACCTCCTATTTCTTCACTCATACAACACAGCTAAATAGATGGACAAACAGACGCTGACTCCTTGTTTCAGCAATCGTTTATAAAAACCTACTAACATTGAGTTTTTTACGCGTTGCCAAATCTACCGCTGGAAATTTAAAGAATTCGCTGGTCTGCTAGAAACAGTTTGAATACTCCGAAAGTACTCGGAAAGTCGATTATTTAACTACATACATGTATAAGAAATAAAAAAGAACAATAAAATAAATCGATAACCCACACAAACATAAATTTAATAACCCACAAACGATGTATTCTATATATATATATATATATTGCCCCATCTAAATTAAAGAGAAATACTCTTTAATGAAATAAGCACTAGTGCCAAAGAATCCTTTAATTGGAGACCTCTACACCCTTCCATCATTATCGATATACTGCCCCATCAAATAGCTTTCAGTCGTGTAATATTGTCACTTTTTAATTAGTAGATTATTAAGTACTGTAAGTAGTATTAAATGGAAGCGTCCCCTTTCATTCCTGCTCGAAAATCTATCCCGAACATTACTTGAAGATAAATAGGAATATTTACAGACTAAACACCATTTCAACACAGTATAGCCCTTTTTTTCTTACGTCTTTTGTTATTGTTAAAAAAAGGCATTGCACAAAAGTCGTCATTGCTTGAAAAGTATTAGGTTGACAAAAAAATAAACGAACAAGTTGTCTTTGAGATCAGCAATACTAAAGAACAGAAACAAAATTCCGGATTTTGAAAGGTCGGACCTTTTTTAGGACGCATACTGCACACTTAGAAATGCATGTCACTAAAAGTGTTGGTGTTGATATTGCAGTTGATGACATGAGTATAGAATATTATTTAAATGATTATTGTAAGTTTCGTAGTTGGTAATTTAAGTCAAAAAGTGATGTTTTATTTGGAACGGTTTTGTATCCCAATTTATTATATAATCCTGCGCATGCCTTGTCGACCGTTTTGACGAAGTCAATGGTTACTTGATGCCTCCACTCGTTCGCTTCTACTGAAGAATTAGGGCGATTGGTGCACAACACCCCACAATTCTCTTGCTCAGTCCCCGATGAAGTCATTTGAAAAATCTTTTCCTCTGATTCTTTACTGAATTCCATTCCTAGGAACTGATAAATCGTTTTTGAGTATTCAATTGGATTTTTAGCGATATCCTCATAAAAAACAGGGATTATTCTATTGGGAAACCGTCGTTGAAAATCTTCCCTATCAAGAACATCGCGAAGAACCCTCTTGCAAAACGATATGATTTTCTCAGTTACGTTTTCATGTTTATCATCACGAAACTCTCCAAGTGTTTTCTGAGACCTTACTGTGGCACGAGGATCTCTTATCAAATGTACGATTTTTAACCGTGGGTGTTTCACCAACATGTCCTCCATGCTGGCCATTGTCATTCGAATTGTTTTGATTATCACGTGGTTTGATTTAAGACATGTCTCCTTGTAGTCAAGTATACACCTCCTCAATGGCATTTTTGGGTCTGATGCTAATCTTCGGAAAGACTGTAGACACGAAATGAAGCTTTTTGATGTATCCCTGTTCCCATGTCCGAGAAATCCGTCAGTGAGTACCCGAACAGGAAGTCGATCCAGATGACAGGAAGCAATGCTACTTGCCGTTAGGGTCGAAACGTCATCTCGTGAACGAAACGCACTGTAACGAGACAAAATATTAATGAACTGCAAGAGATAATATTTAGTCGTACAACGGGTTAAATCTACACCACATGTATTCTGTCACACTTATTTCAGCATTTTGTTGTTCAATTATTTAATTAATTCCAAAATAATCACAAGTAACGGTTCGGTATGTGATATGATGCTTTATCTTTAAGCAAAAGAAATATAAGATAATATAACATTAGACAAACACATCCTTTGTAAATGTAATTAGCATGACCTGGATGTTACAGACAAATCAACGCATTACATTTGACGATTCCGATTTAGAACAGAAGAACAGATATAGCAATTACACTTGCACATTTTAGTCGGTATCGTCAACAGCACTTGTAAACGTTCACGTCAACGGTCATTCTATTAACTAATAAATTCACCTTCAAATGTCTACGTACTACATGTAACTGATAAATTCACCTTCATAAGTCTACGTTTGAACTGATAAATTCACCGTCAAAAAACTACGTACTAACTAATAAATTCGACGTCAAAAGTCTACGTACTAACTAATAAATTCGACGTCAAAAGTTAACGTTCTTACGGAAAAATTCAATGTCAAAAGTTAACGTTCTTACTGACAAATTCACCCTCAAAAGTTTACGTTCTTACTGATAAATTCACTGTCAAAAGTTTACGTATTAACTGACAAATTCACCGTCAAAAGTTAACGTTCTTACGGATAAATTCATCGTCAAAAGTTTACGTATGAACTGATAAATTCACCGTCAAAAGTTAACGTTCTTACGGATAAATTCACTGTCAAAAGTTAACGTTCTTACTGACAAATTCACTGTCAAAAGTTTACGTATTAACTGACAAATTCACCGTCAAAAGTTAACGTTCTTACGGATAAATTCATCGTCAAAAGTTTACGTATGAACTGATAAATTCACCGTCAAAAGTTAACGTTCTTACGGATAAATTCACTGTCAAAAGTTCACGTTCTTACTGACAAATT